TAAACTATGACATTTATAAATGTATGAATCATATGGTGAAAAACTGACTTTGAAAACTAAATCTGTTCTTTTTTTCACATAAAAGGCTAAATAAAACAAAAATATTGGTGGTAATTTTTGACTGTGTAACTTTACAAACGGCACCCCGTGAATCCACGTAACTCTGTATATTTTGTGTCGTATTGAAACTTTGCTCTGACTCTTGCAGATATTATGCAACTGTTCACCCTCTGAAGAAGCGGACCACGGTGGCGACCTGTGCCTATGTCCTCGCTGGAATCTGGCTGCTGTCTTGCGGCCTGGTGGCTCCGGCTGTGACGCACACCTATCATGTGGAGTTCAAGGAGGAAGGCTTCACTATCTGTGAAGAGTTCTGGTTGGGCCAGGAGAAAGAAAGACGGGCTTACGCGTACAGCACCCTGTTGATCACCTACGTTCTTCCACTGTCGGCTGTTTTTGTGTCGTACCTCTGCATCACTGTCAAACTGAAGAAATGTGTCGCGCCTGGCAACAGGACACAGGACCAGGTGGGCGTCCACCAGGCCCGGAAAAGGAAGATCTTCCGCCTGGTTGCACTCCTGGTCTCCGCCTTCGCCGTCTGCTGGCTTCCTATTCACGTGTTCAACGTGCTCAGAGACATTGACATCCACCTGATAAACAAGCGCTACTTTTTGCTCATCCAGCTGCTGTGCCACCTGTGTGCCATGAGCTCGTCTTGTTGCAACCCTTTCCTCTATGCATGGCTGCACGACCGCTTCCGCTCCGAGCTAAGAAAGATGCTCCACTGCCATCATCGCATCGGGATTCCAGCCAGTCACTGTGCTGCAGGCGTGGTTTTATAATCATCCCTCTTCTTTAATTAGAGCAACTTCCTTGTTCATTTTCTGCAGATGAAAGCGTTGGCCACAACATTCATTACTGTAAACTATGTAATCCAGCCATCAGTCATGCTGTGTAAAAACACACACACAAAAAAATAGATCTGTGTTCTGGTGATGAGGGCTGATGCCCCTGCAGGAACTGACCTACATTTGGACAAGTTCATAAACAAAATATGTGGTTTTCACAGCAGGAAGTTGGTCTAGACATTTCTTTTAAAAGCTTCAAATTATGTTTTTTTTTTTTTTTTTTTTGTCAAAACAAGAATTCTCTGGTGAAATTTCTCCTTTTGCTCCTTACGTTCAGGGGTGTAAATAGTCAGAAACCCCGAATTCAAACACAGACCTCCTTTCAGCAGCAGATGGCTTTATTTTTCTATTTTAGGCAGGAAAACACTGGAACTATTTCTACATTAAACAAACTTACCTGTTCATTTAGCGTTCAAATCCATTAAAATGATCATTCAGATTTTGTGAAGCAGTTTTGTGCAAAGCTTATGAACAAAAAACTGTACCTGTTGCAGATAATTCTTTAAATGGCTTCAGTTTGGAGGAAAAGAATTTAACTCTGATCAAAAAGATTAGCTAATGACTAGAATAACTGTTTAATGCAAAACTGATGAAGGTAAAGCTTCATAAATCAGTAAGGTAGGTATGGAGTTTCTTTTTAATTAGAACTGTTTCACTTTAGTCGTGTCACTGCTCTGACCTGTCAATAATCACAGCACATCTTTTTCTCCAAACTAAAGTTGTTTAAAAAACTATCTTCAGCAAGTAAGATTATAGTCGTGACTGTTTTACAGAACCCTACTTTAAACCATATGAACAAGCTATTTCAGCAATAAAATAAAAAATAATAATAATGAGAAAGCAAATTCTGGTCCTGAAGTGATCAACAAATCAGGATTGATTTGTTGAGACAATCAGTCACATTTACCTTATGTGGCTCATAATTTTAGGCAAACCTGAAGAAAGTTCATTTTCTAAACTGTCAAGGTTCATTAAGTGAAAAGTCATTTTCTTTTGCAGATTAAATTTACAGACTGTTGATTCGGTAATATGCCTGGTTTGAGGTAAAATGGTGAAAAATGAGACAATCAACTCAACAAGCAACAAATATTGGCTTTAGTGTTTTTTAGGGGCAGTTTAGAAAAGATGAGCTCTGCTCATTGTTGTTTCTGAATCTAAAAGCAGCAGTAAGAAGCCAGACCTGGTTGAGCTTGGTGAAAAACCATTTGCTGTACAGGAGATGAGGAGCAAAATTAAACCATCAGCTGAAATTGTATCTGGAAATGGTTTCAGAAAATGTGATTGTTACCAGCATCATGTTAGATGTGATTTTTACGTTCTTCATCAAGCAGCGTGAAGTGAAATTCACGAAGCTGTCGCCTCGAGGCTTTCATTTTCTTTATGCCATCAGCTGATGAACATATAAATCATCAAATCATTTCTGAATAACGTACTGGCCAATCAAATAATTCAACTATGTTGACTCTGTGTTTTGTGCTGTGTGTGTTTTGTTGTTTTGTGTGTTTAGGTGGAGGTTGTGTAAAACTCGCAGTTGCTTCATCTTGCATTAATAATCATGAAGGCAAACGAGTCCTGAAATAATTATATTAATTATGTTTCCAGTGTGTGAGCTGACAGCAGATAAACTGCCAGGTGGTGTAAAATGTCCAGTTCCAGTTTTAGTCTTTATGTTTGCCTTTATTATTCCTTAATTTATTCTGTCCTCTTATGTACAGCAGCCATTTTACTTTTTAATTGTAAATCCTGGGGTGATGACTGTGTTTTATGGTGCCCTTACAACCTATGGTTAATAAATTATTAAGCTTTTAATCAACTTTAAACTGCCGTTGCATATAATGGTGATAGCAGCAGCTTTGTTATGGTCCTATACTGTATTTACTTTATTTTATTTCTATTTATTTTGTTTCATATTATTTCGTATTTGTTGTGGACCTTTATATTTTTAATTTGTTATTTTTAGTAATTACACATTTGATAAAATATTTTAAATTCTTCATGATTATTTATTTATTTTGGACTTAATAAAACATGCTTGCATGTAAAGATATTAAAATAATAATGTTTTTTTTTTTGGGTGCTGCCAACATTTATGTGAGGGGGGACTAGTCTACAAATTCACCAGGACCCTGTGTCACAGTGGATGATGGGTACAGATGCACTGAACACAGAAAAACAAAAATGAATCGGTGGACCTCAGTTCAAATCCCACCTCACTCAGCTCTAACTCTGAACAATTTGGAGAACATATTTACTTCACAATTAATATATGCTGCATTTTGAACAGAATGTTTTTCCAGGTCACTTATTTGCTCTAATTCCAACACACATGCTCAGTTTTCAGACACAAGCGTTCATCGATGTAATCCTAAAACACATTTGGACTGAATGGCTTTTAATAACATGTTGTGTGTGTGTTTTGCATTTTTTTATTTTGTGTCAAATTATTTTGTATTTATTTTATTTTTTATTATGTTTATTTTTCTGTATTATTATGTTTAGTGTTATATCTTACTGTTTATTATTTTGTGTGGAGCACTGGCAATGGCATACATTTTCCATGTACACTTGTTTTTGTCGTTTTTATAAAAAAAAACTGTTCTGTAGTTGTGTAAAATATTTATATCTCATGCCCATTCATGTTCTTATCTGTTTATGTGTTTGATTCATTGCTGCAGCAGTAATAAAACAGCAAAATCAACGAGTCGAAAAATATGTTCTCAAAATAAAAATATCTCAGCTGTAGATGGAAATCATGATTCCGAGGATCAGTTTTGGATCTGCCCCATTGTTTTATCATTGTTACATTTGCTATTTAATGTAACTGTTAATGTAAAAAAAAAAAGCGGAATTGGATGTGTTGCATGTTATAAATGGTGTAAATAAAGCCACAGATCTGATATGACCTGTGTTTCACGTCAGTGTGTTATGGCCAAAGCACAGCTGCATTTGCTGATTAAAAGCTGAGGAAATGAGAAGTGTTTGCATATCAATTAGACTTGTTCTGAACGCTGAAATGTGATAATTTATTGTTCTCGTAAATCAAGTCACCGATGTCTGGTGCTTGCTGACAACAGTCCTGCTGATGGATGGGGTTCATTCTGCAGTAGTAACACTCAGGCACTGATTATTTGCTGTTTTGTTGATTACACTCAAATTTCTTCTCAAGCTGAGTAAAATGCAGGGGGGGGGGGGGGCTCTGAAAACTTTTCAAAGAGAGAAGCTATTTTTTTGCAAATTTACTGTATAGGAAGGTCCTTGCCAAGTCCCACTTTGGTGGCACCCCTGGTAAAGAACAAAAATATTAAATAATAGAATTTAAACAGGAATCAGTCTCCAATGCAGAAAGGCACTTTCTGCTAACATTATGATGCTGTCTAATTAATCAGTTTTTCATTTTCTGCAAACACAAAACATTAAGAAAACTAAAAACCTGTTTGTTTTAAGAGATATTGACCTAAAAGTTGAATAATGGTCCAGACTGATCCTGACATTTGATCACTAGGCTGACAGTAAAAAGGTGCCATTTGCTTAACTGTTAGCAAAATATTTCATGAATATGTATTTTAATACTTTCATGAAATATTCGATGGAAATAACTTTACATCTGATGTAATTAGCTCTGGAGCCAATCAAATAAAGATGGCCACAGCTCACTCACTGTAGAAAGCACTAAATTGTAATGTTCAACTTTAACTCTTTCTGTACCATCTTTTTTTTTTTTTTGTTGCAATAAATATGAATGCGTTTTTGGAGAGATAACATTAATAACATATTGCAAAATAAGTTTTACACCAAGATGTTTTTGACATATTTGCATGTGAATTACCAGGAAGTGATGTCAAAGGGAAATGTCTCCATGTGAATGACATTTCTAACACAGATGATAGAGAAGAATCTATTCAGTTTCTTTAGATCATTTTGAGTTACTACCAGAAAGATGAAGTCAGAGTTTATCTCAAAGACAAGGTTGTTTACTTTCTTAAAGAGTTCCCTTTTGATGCCACTTCCTGTTTCACTTTGGCTGAGCCAAGTTCAAAAGAAAAGATACCATTTAGGTGACAAAATGAGTAAAACTGTGTATTATGTCAAGTTTTTTTTTAAAAATATTAATGTTTTGACCTGTTCTATTTGAAGGATATGCATGTTAGTCACTTTAAATCTACAGCGTGTGGATAAACCTAACGCTTCAAGCATGAAGCTGTTTTAAAACCATGTGGTTAATTACCTGAAAGATAACTGAAAAATGTAAATGTTGAATTTGTAAAGAGTGAACATTTTGTGAACATTCTGTTTAATCTGCTCAGAAATTAAAGCAAGCAGGACAAACTGAAAAACTTTTGAGGATTTCAAAATAAAAAGGTCTTGTAGGTCAGCTATAGGTAAGAAAACATGTTTTATTTATTTTGCATTTTCCTTTAATGAAAACAAATACATAAAAAAAACTTTTTATAACACACACATCGTTGTACTTGCTTCAAACTGAGGACTTTGTATTGACTTCCATTCATTTGTGTAACTGTATTTATGCCTAACCCAGATATTTTCCCTAAAACTAACCATTACTGGTCTATAGTTAACCCTAACCTGAACCAAAACTTAACTCACACCAAACCTTTAAACTAGTAAAGCACAGCAGAGCTGCAAACAAAGTGAGGACATTGAAGAGGTCCTCACTTTACATCAAAGACCTCACTTTGAGAGTAACTATGGCACAAATGGTCCTCACTCTGTAGGCAAAACAAGTACACACACACGCACACATTTTATTGCAGAAAGTGTCCTTTAAGCTTTATATATTTAAGCACCGTCTAAAGAGTCCCGCTGCTGGACGATGACAGCACCTCCTGAGTTCGGATGAAGTCCCGCACTTCTCGAGGGGAGCGGATGTACGAATCGATCTCACTGTCAGAGATTTCCTCATCGCCAGTTACTTCTAGCATCGGCTGCTCCACTCTCCTCTTCTTAGCATGAATCACACACGGTGGGGCAAACAGTAACCTTTTACCCCAGTTTGGTTCACAGTCTGGAGCGTCTCCCTCCTCTGCTTGTTTGTCCCTTTCATTCCTCGAACAGAGCTGCTCCACAGAGGAGGCAGCAGCAGTCTGATCCACACGCTCAGAGATCTGAACCATTTCTCCTGTTGGAGGGTCAACAGGGCCGCTCTGATGCTCAGCCTGCATGGTGTCCTCGTGGGTTCTCAGAGCCCTGCTGAGCAGGACGTACCTGTGCTCCAGAATATCCCCCACTAGCTTAACGACATTACCTGGGGTCACTGTTTCCCCAACCCAGGGAATTTCCTTTCCTAGCTTACACAACGTCTCCTTTAACTCTGCTGTCCTAGCCAAAGCAGGTTTGCTCTTTTGCACTTTGGCTAGCTGACAGAACTTCCCCAGGGAGAATTTTAAACGAAGCTTATTGGGGTTCAAAGACTGCCAGGCCAAATAAATCGTCGCCATCATGATGGGTACGGGCCTCCGACCCGTAACGATCCAGGAGTGTGCTGCCAGCTCCACCAGCGCCACGGCTCGTTTCATCAGATCCTTCGAGTCCTCAGCCAATTCTTCTGGAACGTGAGAGGAGCTTATTTTGTATCTGTCAGAGAAAATCAAAAAGATTTATAGTAACCCTTTGATTTAAAAAAAAAAGAATCTGTGAGACTTTTGCCAAATAATAAAAAATTAAAGAGCATCTATAAAACATTTAGATCTCTGATAAATTTATATTTTACCAAGAAGCTCAAAGAGAAGACATAATCAAGCACAATCAACAAAGATCAAAGCAGATTTGAGCAGCTCCTCAGGCTAAATAGAATGAAATATGCGAGTTAAGAATAAATAAACATCTGTACTTCCCAAATAAATATACAGTACTGTAGGAATGCGTGATATAAACGATATACGGTAGAAACGATATAAATTTGTCCTATGATAGAGATCTGTAGTCTACCGGCCAACCGCGCAATTCTTTTTGATGATGTAACCAGCTGGAGTCAAAACAGAAGAAGCGGGAAGCAGCGTGGCTGAGAGCGCAAATGAAGAGGGGAAAAAAAACATAACTTATCCGGACCTGGTTCGGGTGTGTGATGCAGAACTGTTTACGTGACGGTGCGTACTCCGGTCGGATCCCGACCGACCACACTGCCTGGTGCGGGAGGAGCGCGCGCCGCAGCACATGGACGCAGCGAGGCGAATGTCAGTGCAGGTAAGTAGTGCTCCAGGACGCACAATAGCTCGCTGAGTCTGTACCTCATTTCTCCTGCGGTCATAGCGCGACGCCGCACGGCCGAATGCGCGACGATAAAACTCAGCCTGTCTCCTTGTACAGCGGGGAAGCGCTGTGACAGTCAGACTGTCTTTCCAAAAAAAAGAAAGTAAAGCATAAACGGGATGATTGTCACCCCGCCGGAGCGCGCACACGTGGAGTGCAGAAAAAAATTATCTGCAAAGTGTGTAGAAAGGAATAAATACAATCAATTTGTTTTACCACCTTAAAACAAAGCAGGTTATTCCAAACACAACACCCAATGGATGCAGATATCTATTACATTATTGTGTGTGTGTGTGTGTGTGTTTAAAGACTTTAAAGTGTCCCTTAAAAAAGGAGATTTTAAGGTCTAAATTTTTTTACCTATACATATTTATTCCACTCAATTAATGTGTGATTTATTTATTTTCTATTATAAGTTTTACATTGTGATATATATATCGTTACCGCCACTCATCATAATGTATATCGTGATATGAATTTTTTGCCATTTCGCACATTCCTACAGTAATGTATAAATCTATGCTGGAGTGAGGTATACAGCTACTTAAAATGACTAATAAAACTCATTTAATGATAATGAGAAAGCATTGTGATGTTTGAATGATGAATGGGCATTTTATGCATAAAAATGGTCCAAATTTGTCCATTTCTATCCAGTTTGGTTGATTTATTTGATTTATTGATTCAACAGGAAAAGATTACTAAAAATCAAGCCTGACTCAGCATAATTGCTGTTTTACAGCAGGTTCCTGTTCTGCAGCACATAAAACACTCAGAAATACAGCATCACAATCACATCATTATACACCATAGACACAAAGACAAACAAGCATACCAGGCTTGTAAGGCCTGCCTAATCCCACCCCTCTCGCCTGTCTACCAGCAACCTCAACACATTAATCCATCTGGCAGTAATTTGTGTTTCTCACATGTGCTGCGTTTGTTCTTTACTTGTGAGGAGTAATTCTACTGTAGCACAACAACAAGATGTTTAAAAGCATCTCGACGAGCGCTATCTCAAGCTCTGCTTAATGATTTAAGACCGTTACCCATTTTATGTTTTCGATGAAAAATGAACATATCTCAATGTTTGGATTTTGCAGTGGTTTAGAGTTCAATCACACCAGGTTCTGCACCTGAAAAACCCTCTAATGGTACAAAAGCTGCAGGTATAAAGGCATATGCGGATGCTAATCCTGCTATCCGTAGATCTTTATAAATTATAAAAAGTTAGACTGGTGAAAATGAAGGATTATAAGTCATAAGCCTTCATTTTGCAGTATCCTGGCAAGAAAGCTGAACTCACCCGTGACCAAAGTTTCCACTTTATAATCCTTTCAAAATAAACTACGATACCATACAAAGCTGGGTAGAGTGGTTACGAAACAACATGGACTATCAACTTCAGGTAGAAAAACTGCAGACTAGAAAACTGCCATGACTATTGTGTTAATTCTTCATAATTGCCTACTTTAATTGCTTTGACTTAACTTTGAATATTAAAAAAGTAAACTACCCATCCCTAATTGGGATGGATCAAAATAGGATTTAATAAGTCTTGATAGATTTATAAATGTATGAAAAGTCTTTTGTCATATTGTGAAGAAACACTCCAATCACTTACTCCCGACAGTGAGCTTCTAAGACATCAGTGATGTTGAGGGTGGACGGCTCAACATTGAGGATCTTGAGCATCTCCAGATAAACCCCTCCGACCAAAGCTGGGTCAGCATTCAGCAGGCAGCTGATGGTTCCGATGGTAATCGGCCAGTTCAGCTGTCTGCAGCTTAGGAGCACGCAGCAACCGGCCAGAACCTCCTTCTTCTGAAGGGTTACTCTGATGAAACTCTCGTGCTCAAAGGCTTGCTTGAAATAAGTCTGCGCCAGATCCTCAATTTCCAAGCGCAGCCTCAGAATCCGACATATTTCTTTCACACGCTCCAGACCTTCAGTTGCATAAAAAAGGCAAAGTATTACCGTGCAAATCTTTTCATTCAGCCTTCCTTCATGCTTTTATACATTTTTACAACCAAGAAACACTTTTGTATATTTTGAAACAGTGGTTTTAGCTGATAGACTTTTTATCCAAACTATATTAATGGGATTGATTATTTTGTTTGAAAATCTTCAATTGTTCAAGCAAGCTTAGCAAAGAGTTAGCCTGGAGAACTACCTAAAAATAACTGAATAATTAGGTTGGCTGAAGACTTTTGCACATTCATGTATGAATTTAAAACAAGTCACTATTTGATAACAAATAAAACCTTGTCTGGGAGTAAGACCTCACCTTTTCTATGGTTTAAACAGGGTTGTTTTGTCACAGCCGTGGTTCTGCTGTAGCTGACATCTGTGGAAAAAACAAGGAAAAACAACAACACTAACTTAGCCAAATGCTCAAGATAACATTTATTATTATTTTGTATTTTAATATGTGAAACATATTTCCTTCGTGCAAGTTTATAGATCTCAAAGGTTCAAACTTTTTTTTGCTTGTTTTTCTTTGAGCACAAGAAATTATATACTTGTGAATATTTCTTATCTCAGCCAGACAGGTGCACTGAACCTGAACACTACCTGAACCTCCGACCGGGTCGTCGGCCAGGACCCCCTCGGACACCACGCAGCCGCAGTCCGCGCACACCAGCTGGGCCTGAGCGTACAGGTCATCGTCCACGATGTTGGAGGAGCCGCAGCTCGGACAAGAACCCACCAGAGACATAATGGATCAAAAATACTTCACGCTTCAAGTTCCTGCAGCATCTCAGATCGAGCGTACAACAAACTATGCTCTGTGTGGACAGGTTAAATGTGTCCGGGTAGATGCAACAGAAACACAAAGGTTCCGCTTGTCACCGGAATTGGTTAAAAACAAAACCACAATGATCATTTTGTTGTGTATCATGTATGTCTTGTCTTTTTTATGTCAACGTGGACCAGGACTCTGTTGAATCAATCGTCAGAATAAAATAAACTCAAATAAAACAAAACAATATTAAGTAAATGAGATTACTGAACAACTAAAAGCAATAGGGTGGCATTGTCCACTGAGCTGTTCAACTCTACTCAGTCTTTTGCTTTACTTATGTCTCAACAAAAATAATTAAAAATGTCTTGCTAAAAGCAGTTACCCCTGTTAACTAACCCGAGTTGTACTTCAGTTTTATAACATCTGTTTTTACATTTCATTTTCTCAGTCTGGACACCAGAACGAGGCAACAAGAAACTAAAGCAAGAAAATTGAAAAGCTGCATTAAGTGAATGTTTGATTACACTGAAATTTAGAGATAACTTACAATAAAAAAATTAAATTAATAACTGTTTAAAGCAGTGATTTTCAACCCTGGACCTCAAGGCACACTGCCCTGCATGTTTTAGATGTTTCCCTGCTGATTTCAGTTGATAATAATTAGCAGGCTTTTGTTTATCTGGAATCATCTGAATGAGCTGTCAAAGCAGGGAGAGACCTCTAAAACATGCAGGGCAGTGTGCCTGGAGGACCAGGGTTGAAAAACATCCAAGTAATGAAATCTATTTAAAATATTTAGATCAGCAAGTTTTTGCTATATTTAGACCAAAAATTTTCCACTTTTATTCTCTACATTTCAACAACATAAAACTTTCATTTATACATTTTATACTCTGCAGCTGGTGGTTGTTTTGTAACTTAATTTTTTTATATCCCTATAAAAGCATGGGTTACTGAAAGGGGGAAACAGAAAAAATGTCAAATAAATCACAAAAAAGTGTTTATTTTTCCACTTTATTTAGCAAATATAATTTAAAATCAGTAACTTCAGTACAGTACAACAATTCAGTGTTTTATTTGTTGAAAGTGCGTTATGTTGAAGTTAGCAAGAATCATAGAATACTGTGACTTTCAGGATTACAAGACATTTTACAATGCATATTAAGTAAGGCTTTCATTCGTTTAGAAAAAATATGTATCTTATGCTGTAAAGAAATGAATGTGCCTCATGAAAGCCTCAAACACACAAATATACAAGTCCTTTAAGAGTCTCACGTGAAGAAAAAGCTAATTTACATTTGTATAATTAAATCCCAAGCAACTCAATCTTCACTTATTTTCATCTTTACTTTTTGATTTCAGTTGAAAAGCGTGTTCAGGTCAAACTAAACCACTCCACAGACGCCACTTCTAATGAGATCAGAGTCTTTGAAAGCCGAGGTTTTCATCTTTAACTCTGAGGATCAGACTCCAAGGAGCCGACTCTTTCATGGCCTATTTTATAGAACTCATAGACATGAGGATACTTGGCTGGACTTCGATGACGCGCACAAGCAGGTTATCGATGTACAGCTCCAGCTCGGATATTTTTTTGTCTTTGTCGGCGAGCTGCTTCTCCTGTTTCAGCACCAAGGAAATCAGTTCCTCCCGAGTCAGCTGAGAGTATGGCCCTGTAATCACCTGTGGGGGGAGAGAACATGTATAAAACACAAAGCTTTAAATATCTTCACCACTGATAATAGAAACACAAAAAAAATATCCACATTTGGTTTAAATAAAGATACCTTAGTGTTGTGTTGAACTTTGCCACAATCCAGACCTGAGGATTTGTTATTTTCCTCTTGAACAGAGGCAGGCTGCTTTTCCAGGGGATTAAGAGGTTTTACTGTTTGAAGTCTAAAGTGACAAAAGATAAAAGGAAAACTTTAGAATATTTATGGCTTAATGAGAGGAAATTAGTTGTCACTGTGTCTGTATGTGTACCTGGGCACTCATCACAACTCGGTTTCTCAGTCATTACATACCGTAAACACTCTTGTGGCTATTGCACATCTGAAACACTGTACTGTAAATATCCTGCCCTTAATGATATTTAACACACAGGCACATTATATACACACACCGCTAGAAATTACTTAATTTGACTCACTTGCACGCCCCTTTGGATCATGAGTCTGTGATTACTGTTTTGTCATTTTTATGGACAGTATCTTGTTTTTATCTTTGTCTTGTACGGTACTTTATTTTTTATCATTTTTATTCTATTATTGCTACTATTATTGTTGCACAGCAATATATCGTTTTGTGAATTGATGTATCTACGGTTGCTGGTACACCTAAATTTCCCCTCTGCGGGACAACAAAGGCTGTTTCTATTCTATTCTACTGCATTGACAAAAAGTCTCATGAACAAATGGGCATATTTTAAAACTCAGTAAATAACCACTGAGTGTACAGCTATAATAGTTAACCCTGTTCAAGATGGCTGCCAAAGGTAATCATCTTTAACCACAGGTAAAAGGTTATAAATCTGGTAATTTTACAAATATTTTAAAAAAAGTTTTTACAAATATTTACCTAAACTTAGATGTAGCAGTGCCTCAGCCATCCTCAACACCTATGAACACTAACATACTGTATCTTGCAATTTTAAGCTCTTGTATCGTGCCATTTATAAGGTTTAACCAAATATGGTGACAGTTCTCATTACAACAAATGATTCTAGTCTAGACTTGTGTTCTTTAAAAGCCTGCATATTACCCATTGTCTTTCATGTCATAATTCTTTAATTGTATGTTTTCACAAAAATCAGATAAAGATATGAGCCAAACAGAATATAAAGATATCTGCGCAGCAAAGCGAGATACTAAATTCAACTTTTCTGCATTATAGAGACTCCCAAGTACACAATAAAATGCATTTAACATCTAAAAAATGGATTGTGTGTGATGTCCTCTAAATATTACACATCAACCTCCCCATAACATTAAAATGATATTCAAGTTAAAACACACCAAAGATTCCATTCCAAATGACAATCAACTCAGATGGTGATATTTTATAAAAACAGAAACATTAACAGTTATTTTATGTAATTAAATGAAACTAACATTTTTTTTCTTCCATTGAGAACTAAAACAGTCTTACCTGCGTGAATTTACAGGAGGCCCCTCCTCCTTCACACCTGCCACCATCACTTTCTGCCCCTTTGCAGGCTGAGTGTCTTTATTTGGACTCTCCTGAACCTGGACGGTCCTTTTAACCTCAGGTTCTGGATCACATGCTTGGTCTGGCATGGTTGGGTCTGGGCCACCTGTAAGGGGGCCTCCATCGTTCGGATAAATCAAAGGGCTCGAGGAGGAGTCGCTGGGAGGAGGTGGTGCAGGAGCACGAGCCACTTTTAAAGATTTGACTTTTGCCGGAGAGGTGTCATCTTTGTCAGCAGTTTGTGGATCTGCAGGAGGCCAGTGAAGTGGGCTGGTAGCAGCAGATTTGGTCACATCGTCCTGGGCTGCGAGCTCATTTTCATCGTCATCAAACGGGTTTAAGCTTTGAGAAGTTTTGACTGGTTTGGTTTCAGGCACACCTCTGTGAGAGGTTTTGTTAGACGACGGCTCTTCAACAGAGTGCGGTCTGGATGGTGCAGGGCGCTTGGTGGAGGAACTATTCAGCGGAGCGATCATTTGCACCGAGCGCTGAGGAGGAACGCTGACCGTTCGGACATCTTTTTCTTTGCTTTGCTCGTTAATTTGTTGTAGTGCAGACAGATCACGTCGCGGTTTCTCAGGCTGGCTCCTTCCTGGAGGTTTAGGAGCCGGTCTTTTCTCCCGCTGAGCATTAAACAGGTCCTTTTCATCAGCGGAAACGCTCGTCACTGATGGGACCGCCGAGTCGCATCTGGAAATTCAACACAGAATACAGAAAATGTTTGGGTGAACTTCAGCTGCTGTAAAGGAAATTCCACAAAAAAGGCTAAACAAATGAAGCTACAAAAAGATTTACAGGGATTCAATGTTTACAGTGCTGTATAGTCACAGCAATATTAAATAAGACCAAATCAAGAGTGGGAAGAGATTTTCACTTGTTCATGTGAAACTCGATGCAGTGAGGCGAGACTGTACACAGAGTCCGGATCTCTCTACACACAAACCCAGAGCCTTGCAATTTTAATGCCAAGTGTCAAGTTTTCTGCAGCCTTTAAAAAGAAAAGTGCTGAGAACTCTGAGTTGTACTGAAATAAAGATAAGGAACATCCAGAAAACAGTGTGTGCACGGAAATAAATTCCATTTTTTTTCAACAAACATACAAATTTATTTTCATTTCCTTTTGGGTTGACTATTTTTACCCTGAAAACACCACCAATATTTAATTTAATAATTTATTAAGCCACAACGTGAAATATCTATACAACTGTTATGATTTGGCATCAAAATGCAATAGTCTCCAGAGTTTAAACCAATAAATTAAAGAATAACCTAACTTTTCATATATAAACAGAGTTTAGTCACTTTGCTGCAGATATTAAAAGCTTGTTTATCTCATGAAATGTAATCAAAATTAAAAGAATCTGGGGTCTTTAAGCATAACTTTCTTTAAAAAGTTGTTTTAAAAGCTTTGATGAATGCAGTTTTGCTGAAACCAAAAGCTGCAGACAGGATTCTAAATCTTGTTGCCAGAAAAAAGGCAAACAGAAATATTGGTCAACTGGAGTCAAACACCTTTAGACACCAGTTCTTCCTCTGCAGACTCAGCTGTGATCACCACTGCAAATACCAACCATCTAAAAAGATGTGAAACATTAAATTATAGTCTGAATCTCCGCAAATTAAGTGAAATAATCTGCCAGTGGCTAACATTCTGCTCTTGCTTCAGTTGCAAAACAAGATCAAAAACATTTTTCGGCCGGATAGAAGATTTAAAAGATTTGGTTTGTTGGATACTTTTTGCAGAGCAGTTGCACTTTTTGGGATTTAGTTGTGCAGATAAAGAGTAAAATTAAAATTGAAGTCATTAAAACGGCTCTTCACTAACAGCAAGCCACAGTTTCTCTGAGATGGTTCTGGCAGAGCTGTAGTTTCCCCACATTAAAACAGCATTTGAACCAATTTGATTCTTTGCTTTGGGCTTTCTGCTGACTATGAGATTTCTGCTGATAACACTCTTAAATCATCTTTCCAGGTCAGCGACCACAACAACATGCGAGCACAGCCGACTGAACTTTCTAAAGTTCAAACCAGATAGTTCCAAAAATGATGATTAATTGAAGAGGAAGTGCGGTGGATGCAGAGCTGGAGCAACGTGGAAAGCAACAAAAGAGGAAGAACTTTACACAATTTCCTCTCTGCTGTCATGGGGGAAGTCGAGATCTGCAGAAACAAATGCAGCGAGCGTAGTGATGAGGACAAAACTGTTCAAGAACTTTCTACTTTTCAGTTTCCTCTAAAATCTCTCAATTTTATGATGCCAATATGTAGAAAAATCAATGTTTAGTTTTCATTTGATTAATATTTAGTTTCACACAGTGAATTCTTCATACAGAGTGTGTATGTTTGGCCTGAACTGACCTTTGAACAGTTTCAGATTTCGTTGAGCAGATGGGAGGTTCAGGAGCAGAGCTGGACGATGACTCAGACGGAGAGAAGTCTTCATCAAAAGGATTAGTGGAAAGGATTTCTGTGGGAATTAGTTTGAGTTTTTTCTTGGCAACTTTTTGCTCGATCGTTTTGGTTTCTTTCTGCTTTTTTTCAGCTTCTTTTCTTTCCGTCTCCTCCCTCCTAACCCGCTCCTCTTCCTCCTTCCTTCTCTTTTCTTGTTCCTCTTGGTTCCTAACTCGATCAAGTTCTTCCTTTTCCTTCCTAGCCCTCTCTTCTCTCTCTCTTTTCTCCTCCTCCTTTCTAATCCTTTCTTGCTCTTCCTTCCTAATTATTTCCATTTCTTCTATTCTCCTCTTTTCTTGTTCCTCTAGTCTCCTCCTCTCCTCTTCTAGTCTCTCATTTTCTTCCCTTTTTCTAATCCTCTCCTCTTCCTCTCGCCTCTCCTCCTCCCGTCTCCTTGCCTCCTCTTTCATTTCCTCCTCTTTTCTAACTCTCTCCTCCTCCTGTCTCCTTGCCTC